TCTATTCTCTGAGTGTCTGTATTCTGACATTGGTTTCACACGTACCTAAACAACCTTCCACTAAGGGGGAATATCACTTAAATCCACCCGCCAGCTGCATTCCACTGACAAGTGCCAGAGTTCTAAATTTAACAATTAAGGGGGAGGAAGAGGGTATGTCCTTCTTTTAATTCATAATAAAGACTGTGAGCCACGGGCAGGGCTGTGACTTAGAATAAAATGTCCTGAGTAAATGATTACATTCTGGGATCATGCTGCGGTGTTGGGTGGACACGGGACAACGGATGGACTACAGACATGGTCCAGTGGTTAAAATCATTGGCTGCTCTTCCAGAAGACCAGAGTTCAATTCCCAACACCCACACGGCAGCTCACAACTATCTACAACTCCAGTTCCAGAGGCTCTGACACCCTTTTGGAGTCTCCATGGTTACTAGGCACACACATGGTATATGTACACATATTCAAGCAACACATCCATACACATAAAATAAAATTCAAATTTTTAATAAAAAAGTAAATTGGCTCAGGGTAAGCACGTGCCTAGCATGTACAAGACTCAGGGTTCAATCCCTGGTACCATAAACAAACAAACAAATGAAAGCTTACCCTAGCTTAACTAGAAATCTGAGAAGTAAGGAGTTTTATTCAGCTGCAAGTAAATGTTTCAGAACACTTAGATTACAGTTTTGCTAGTGTAAATGGGCCTTTAGTGTGTGCACAAGTACATGTACACAGACTGATTCGCATGTGCCTTCATTATCAGATTTTAACACTTAGATTATAGTTTTGCTAGTGTAAATGGGCCTTTAGTGTGTGCACAAGTACATGTACACAGACTGATTCACATGTGCCTTCATCGTCAGATTTTTAGCATTCAAGTTCTTTTTAATTATTCCACTTCTTGCTTTTACAGTTTTTTAAACTTTTGTAATTATTTATTTATTCTGTATATGATGTGTACATGTCATGATGAATAATAGGGGATCGGAGGACAAGGTAAAGGAGTTAGTTCTCTCTGTCTAGTATGTGGGTTCTGGGCAGTGATGTCAGGTCATCAGGCTTGGGGTGGGGCAAGTACCTTTAAGTCAACATAGCTTGTACAGTTTTTAAAACTAAGAAGAATTCATTAAGGGGCACAGTCAAGCATACTGATTTCACATTGAAATGTGTACCAGGAGCATACCAATAACCTAAATGTCTGCCAGGTAGGAGCTAGCTAAATAAACTGAATATAACATATTAATGTGCTAAGACTACTAAGCAATTCCGTCCAAAAGAGGAAGACTTATACACATATATGGATATATAAGATTTTCTAAAGATGCAGAACAATGGGTATATAATGCTAGTGTTCATATACACACAGAGACATACACATAAACACACACACACACACACACACACACACACACACACACACACACACGACTGGAAACACTGAGTGGCTCTAGGAAGCACATTCAAGGTTTGAGTAAAGAGCAATTGGAGGAGGTTTTTGAAAACTTCTCTGATGTGCCTGTGTGCATCTTTGTGTAAGTTTCTCTGTGTGTATGTCTGTGCATGTGTGTGTTTCTGTGTTTGTGTACGTCTACGCATGTGTGTCTCTGTTTATGTGCCTCTCTGTTGCTGTGGGAGGTCTTTCTGTATGCTGTGAATATATGTTGCTACCACTGGTTAATAAAGAAGCTGCTTTGACCTATGGCAAGACAGGAGACAGCCAGGCGGGAAATCCAAGAGAGATACAAGAAGGAAGGCAGGGTCAGAAGAGATGCTGTGAGCCGCCACCTGAGAAGCAAGATGTAATGGAACTCACATGGTGATACATAGATTAGCAGAAATGGGTTAATTTAAGATTAATGAGCTAGTTAGTAATAAGCTTGGCTATAGACCAAATTGCTTCTAATTAATATTAAGCCTCTGACTGGTTATTCAGGAACAGGCTGGTGGGAGAGATTGACCATTTACACTCTGTGGAAGTATTTGCATGTGTACATCTTTGTGTGTGTGTGTGTGTCTGTGTGTATGCGCATCTGTGTGTATGTATACAGGGGTTCATACACATACATAGATGACACAGCACATCCATGGATGCTGTTACTCAGGCAATGCCGACCTTTTCTTTGAAAAGGCATTTCTTGCTAGTCTAGAACAGGCCAGTAGGCTGGGCTGGTTTGCCATCCGACTCCCGTACCTGCCTGGCTCCATGTTCCCAGCACTGAGGTTGCAAGTGCAGGCCATGGCATCCAGCTTTTTCATCTGGGCTCTAGGGATGCCACTCAGGTTCTCCTGAGAAATCCCCAAGGCTCCAAGTGTTGGAGTTTAAAATACCATGCTCATGAAAGACATTTGTCAGTTACAACTGATTTTAAAGTTAAGGTCAAGAGCTGAGGATATACCACAGTAGCAGACCAAATGTTTAGCATGGGCAAGGTCCTGAGTCTGTTACCCAGAAACACACGAAGAAAGAAAGAAAGAAAGAAAGAAAGAAAGAAAGAAAGAAAGAAAGAAGGAAGGAAGGAAGGAAGGAAGGAAGGAAGGAAGGAAGGAAGGAAGGAAAGAAAGAAAGAAAGAAAGAAAGAAAGAAAGAAAGAAAGAAAGAAAGAAAGAAAGAAAGAAAGAAAGAGGGGGGAGGAGAGGGGAGGGAAGAGGAGGGGAGGGGATGGAGGGAGGGAAATGAATGATGGAACTAGTCTGCTGTCATCTAAGTTGGCATTTCTTTACAACCCTGACACACTTGCTTCTCGCACACTTCATTGATTTGGGACTCATGGAAACTTTTGGTTTATGACTACTAGTAGCAGGACTAGGGCCATCTTCCTTTATTTGCTGTCTAGGTCAGCTGCTTTGGGGTATAATGCATGTGTGCAAGCTCTAGACCTGCAGGTACAGAGTTCCGGGAAGACTTAAGTCTACTTAAGTTCACACTCACTTCGGCAAAGCACAGGATGAGTAAACAGAGCCCAGGAATAATGCTTCCATTTTGATCCATTTTTATTCCTGATGATGCAGGAAGAGATTCCTTTTACTCCCTAACATCAACTATTTGGTAAAGCATCGCCTGGAGATCTAATCAGAAGTAGGAAACATCGTCAGAAAACAGGAGCACCTTTTATAAAGTCTTTAGCCAGCCCTGTCAGTGTCTCCATTCAGGAGGATGGAGGGAAATGATGTCAAAAAATACTAACCTCGGGGCTGCAGAGATGGCTCAGAGGTTAAGAGCACTGACTACTCTTCCAGAGGTCCTGAGTTCAATTCCCAGCAACCACATGGTGGCTCACAACCATCTGTAATGAGATCTGGTGCCCTCTTCTGGCTGGCAGTTATATATGCTGTATACATAATAAATAAAAAAATCTTTAAAAAAAAAAATACTAACCTCTCCTGTCTCTGCAGAATGTTCATCCAATTCTGTTCATCTCCAATGGACATTATCTTGTTGTTTTTAAAGTAAAACAAGGAGCAGAAAATACTCTCAATTCTAAAAACCACACTGAAACACTAAATATAGAGTATATGGGAAGAAGCCACCTGCAGGTTATGTAATAAGTACCCGCTACTAAAGCCAGAACAACCGAGGTTCAAACTCTGGCTGTTGTCTACAAGCTATATGACTCAGAAAGTTTCCTCATCTATCTATCCAGTGGGGAATCCTGCTACTGTACAGTGTTCTGGGTTTAAGAGAAGAGGTATCCAAGCACCTTACCTGCTGGCAGGCTCACATGCATAGTCTTCAAGAACCAAATTACAAGAAGGCAGTATATGCCCTTCTTGCCTTGCTTGGTCTGAATAAAGACACTAGACCAAGATTTTTCAAAGAACCCAAGAAAATAATGAGAATGTCACAACTCTACTGGAAGCCTATAGTACTAGTGTCACAAATTATGGGGCAGAAACACCCAGAAAGGGAGGCCAAGGGATGTAGCAGAGAAGACGAAACACTCCAGTGCATGAAGAAACACAAGGCAAGCACAGGTGTTTCTGAGCCCCAAAGTCATTGGGTAGACTCTGCCAAGTCCCAAAGAAACCCTGGACAAGTCTCACTCAGTACCTGTGGCTTCTCCCAGTGCCTCTCACCCTGCCCCCTACCCTAAACTTCTCCAAAATCTAGGGGCTGGCCTCCACTTCCCTTCCCCCAGCTTCTCTTTCCTATATAACCTCAGCCATTTTGGCCATGTGCTCTCTCTTTTGGTCATCAGCTCTTGGCCAGCTCACTCTTGGCTTCTTGGTCCTTGACTCCTCTCTTGGTTCTCTGTGGTGATATTTGTGCTCTAACAAATAAAGCTTGCCTGGGGATCAGAGGACAAAGCTGGCTGCTATATTAAACACAGAGGTCAGGCAGTGGTAGCACACACCTTTAACCCTAGCATTCAGGAGGCAGAGATTCATCTGGGTCTCTGTGAGCTCAAGGCCACACTGGGAATGAAGCCAGGCGTGGTGGCACACACCTTTAATCCCAGCACTAGTTAACACAGAGGTCTGGAGGTCTGTACAGAGAGACAGGAAGTGATAGAGCTGGGCGGAAAGAGGAAGTGATGTAGCTGGGCAGAGAGAGGAAGTAAGATGGCAGGGCACAGAAAGGTATATAAGGAGTGAGTACACAGGAAGTAGCTCTCTTGGGCTGAGGATTTCCTAGTGGTAAGAACTTGTGACAGGCTTGTTCTACTCCTCTGATCTCAGATTTCACCCCAATATCTGGCTACGAGTTTTTTTTTTTTATTAATAAGACAGTTTAGCAATTTGTGTTACAGTCCTCATCTCTTGGCCTCTTGGTCCTCGGCTCTTCTCTACTTGCCCTCTCTTCTCTTTCTCTCTGGCTGTCCCCCTTCTCTTTTCTCTCCTGGCCCAGTTCAGTCTGGACCCTTCCAGATGCCTCTGGCTGAACACGCCCCCTCATATCGCCAATAAGAACCCTTCTCCTCAACAACACCTAGGAGCAGTCATGTCCTCATTGTCATTCAGACTCCTCCTTCAGCTAGGGGTCAAAGGTCGGGGCTTACCAAGATTCGGCTGGGACACTGCCATGGACCTTTGTGGTACTGATGTGGAAGTGATGGCATGGTGGAGACTCCCATGATTCAGGGGCTGATTCATCGCCTTCCTAGGGTCTTGCCATGTGGTGATTTTTTCTATGTGACTAAAGGAAGGAAGACAATTAATTACTAGTTTATAACCATCTGTATTGTCATCAACACCACTAGTAACAACCAACACACCAGGGACACTGGTTCTTCCCCTTGGGTCAGCCTACAAATTGCTTTTGGTTTTACCCAAGCAAGGACTCCCTAGCCCATTTGGCCCTGCATTATGGTTGTGCATAACAAGGACTGTTTACATCTTAGCTCAAGGAACCTACACACATCAGCATGTCAGCTGCTTCCTCATGCCCTCCAATTCCCACTCACAGCCCTCCAAAAGCTGGTCCCATACTCCACACCCAAACCACATCACAGATCACTCTTACTGCTTTACAGGACCTGTCCCATTCCATCAAGCTCAACCTTTAGCAAATAGCCTTTAGTGTGCGGGTGTGGGTGGGTGAGTGTATTTGAAAGATGAGTTAAATACATGCAGTGCCCTTACTCTGCTTTATAAATGGTATCGAAGATCTCTCTATATCCATTAAAGACAATAAACCATGATATTTGAAACTGAATATTATCCCTTTGTTCTGGCCTTACAGCCAAGTTTGCCTCTTCCTGTCAAACCCTACTTAAACACTTCCTGAGATACAACAGGAATGCTCTTTCTGTTAAACACATCTGAATTTTGAATAACAAAAGTGTTCTTATCTTTAGTGTTAAGAAACTACAATAACTATCTCTCTGGATTTATGCTAGGTCTAGAAATTTCCTTTCTGTAAAGTTGCATTTAGTTTTGCTTTTCTTTCTCCCTCTCTCTCTCCCTCTCTCTCTCTCTCCTTCCCTCCCTCCCTCCCTCCCTCTCTCTCTCTCTCCCTCCCTCCTTCCCTCCCTCCCTCCCTCCCTTCATGGTTTTGCTTTTTCTTTCCTCCCAGTTAAATGCTTCTTCCAAGACTGGGATGGATTACCATGGGGAACTCTCCCATTGCCTAGAGTGAAGACATAAGTGTTCTTCTTCAAATTGAGTATGATTTTTTTTTTTTAAAATAGAACAATAAACCAAGGGCCAAGTGCATGGGGAGGGTTGGGGCCAGAGTTAAGTTTGATTACTGAATGTCAAACACAGCAGATGTCATCTCAATCTTCAAAAAAAGGGGCAGCAGTGAACTGTTTCGGCTTTGAATAAAATCCTTTAGTCAGCCTTTGGGCATGAGGAAACCCAGGTAGCACCAGGGTTCTTCGTCACAAGCCTTCAGAGTAAGGAACTAACTGACAGAAATAAACTAAATGTCAAAATGAAGTCAATTCCCTTTAGCAAAGTCATTACAACTAAAAACAATGCTTGTCCTTCCAGGGTCAATGCTATTGTTTCCAGGCTAGGAAGACGGCTTGGGGGGCGGGGTGGAAGCAGTAGGTGCGTGCACATGAGGACCTCACAGCTCTGGAGAATGCATGGTACTGTATGTCTATTACCACAGTGCTGGGAGGCAAGACAGGAGGCAGGGACGGGAGAATGCCTGGAATCTGGCTAAATCGGCCAGCACAGTGGCAAACAACAGTGAGACCCAGTCTAAAGCAAAATAAACAGTTTCAAACTCAAAACACCTGAGGTGGTCCTCTGACCACCGCATGCTCTCATGCAACAGATGTATCTCTCCTCTCTCTCTCTCTCTCTCTCTCTCTCTCTCTCTCTCTCTCTCTCTCTCACACACACACACACACACACACACACACACACACACACACACACACACACACTTTCAAGGTAGGCTTATCCTAAATGAGTATTTCCTGCCCTGGTACCATAAATCCTTCTCTGAGAAATGGTCTAAGATACCAGCATCAAAAATACTGAAAGCCAGCATCAGAACCCAGTCTACCCCTGATGGGGAGATACACCAATATACTGGATTGGTTGATAGAGATAGGTCATTGCTGTCATCAGACATCTAAGGACAAAGCTGAAGGATTATCATAGCAATGCTACATTCCCAGATGCTGAGCCTCACTCTCCCCGCTTCTAAACAAGCAGGAGATGGCTTCCGAATGTGGTGGGACCTAGTGGGTCCTGTGCACAAAGCTGGCATAGGAAGTGGTGGCTAAGCCCGATGGGCCTAAAGACTGTCAATGCTTTCCAGCTTCCATTGCTTGGGAAAGAGGGTGGAGCCTTCTGTGTGGACACTGCCTCATCCTGACAGGTCTGACCCCAAGATATAAAAAAGGGGGACTTACCCTAGGCACTCCCACAGTGTCCTGGCAGCCGCCACAGCCCACCCTTCCAAATCTACAACCAGCCATGGCATTTGTTCCCAGATCTGCTACCTGTGTCATTCACTGCCTTCCCCAAGACGCCAATAAAAGAAGAGCCCTCCTTGGGTGAGAAACATGAAAGCCAAGCTGCTATCGGGGAGACCGGGTGGTTTTCTTCTGAAATTCTCACACAGTGAAAACTACTCACTTACCAAAAAGCTTGAGGTAGCTATGAACGGAGACAACACATCTGTAAACCACATCTTGTACCAATGTCGAAAGGCTGGACGCCCCTCTAGCCGGAGACTGTATTGGTCACAAGGTTAATGGCAGTGCTCCAGATCTGACTTGACTAATTTCTCCCACTGTTGAAGTGATTTAGGGCTTTCGGCTTTGGCTCCCCTCCCCCACTTACCAAACCCAAAGGACGCCATTCACTTTTTCATTCCACTGTCTCATCTCAGCTCCCTCTATTAATATGACTGAGTCACTTCCTTTCCCCTGTTTCTCAGTGTGACCGTGCTGTGTGCCAGGACCGAGAGTTAGCAGGATTAATCCCACTTCCCTTCTACTCCCACCTCCTTCCTGGCTTTATTCCCTCACTGGGTCTACTTTAAGAAAAGGCCTTCTATTTCAAACGTATAATCTCTTGTGGAAATTAACATCAACACATCTATCTACTCATATACTCAATTTTCCTGTGTTTTAAATAGTCTATTTTATTTTCAAATATAAAAAGGGAACGGGGGGGGGGGGGGGGGGGGACTAACCACATACGGTGACATAAGCAAATAATTCGTTCACTGGTGGGATTTGTCTGTTTTTGTTCTGCTGTATTTTTCCTATCTAAATGCTTTACAGGTTTTTAACAGTGACTATGAATTGCTTTCATAAGCAGCCAAGGTTGAAATAAATACTCATGAAGGCACAAAAAAAGGAACAAAGGAAAATTAATGCACAAATATGAACATGACCTGGCACTAGTTACTGAAGATAAACTGAAGGAGGTTTAAAGGTCAGTCACGTTCAACTGTCAGTGGTCCTCACCCTTTGATGATGCTCCCCTCCAACCTCTCAGTCTGGGGAACAGTCATATTTCTTTCCCAATAGAATATAAGCTCTTTCAGCACATGAGGAATATAAAGACATAGAAAATAAGAACGATTACAGACAGTTCATTTTGAAAGAATTTAGACATCCTCATAGCATGGGCAAAGAATTTTGTCTTCAAATATAAACTTGGAGCTGGGTGTGGTGGTACGAGCCTTTCATTCCAACCCTCCAGGAAGAGTCAGGCTGATCTCTCTAAATTCAAGGCCAGCCAAGGCTACACAGAGAGACCTAGTCTCAAACAAAACAAGGCAAAAACAAAACAACAACAAGAAGAAAAAGTTGCTTCCCACTTTATCTTCATGCACCAAAAAAGAGGGTAAATGGAATCAGTTTCTTGGCCCCATGCTGTTGACAAAGAATAACAGTTCCTAAGAGGAAGGAAAACTTTTTTCTTGACAAGCAAAAACTTTTCCATAGACTTAAAAGAAACTCCCTACAAGGTTTCCCATGAAGGGCCTTGAGTTGCATGTGGTGGGAAAGGTGCTCACAATAAATATGAAGGAGTGGCCGTTCTTCCTTTGAAGGCCAGGCCAGTAGCAGGCTTCAAACCCCAGCAGGACTTTGCTCCAGAACTGGCCAGTCACAAATGAGCAGCAGCTCTAGGGACCTGGGGTTTTGCCAACAGACAGGAAAGGAAAAGCCAGTTCGCCTCTGAGAAGATTCTTGACTGGAAAGGATGGCATCTGGAAAACTGATGTGTCAAATAATCTTGGATTAATACTTTCTGCTATAAAGACAAATGCTGTTTTAAGTGCTGGATAAATTCTGTGGGCTGAAGATGAACTGTGATAGAGAGAGGAACCACTCTCACACTCACGTCCAAGCCCAGCCCCACCTATCAGCCTGGGGGACTGTCACCACCTCTGGCCTTCTCCTCTCAAGCACTGCTTTGCCCTTCAGGACTTTCCCTCCAAAGGAGGCAAGGCCATGAGCTCCCTCCTCAGTCTTGCTGGCTTACCTTTCCTTCTCCTCTTCCCTCCTCTTCCTTGAACAGTGCGTCCTCTATTCCACTTAGACTCATATCCCAGGTGCATATGGAATCCAAGTCACCCTTAGGAATAAGCAAGTCTCCAAAGCCTCCCTCTCCAGAGCCACTGCTGCCACAGAAGTCTATAACCAGACTCCTCACAAGCCCAAAAGATCAGTCTTGAAATCACAACATACCTGGGAACCTGAACTTTAATACTAGCAGGGACCCTGTGTCTTCTAACTGGCTAAGTCATCTAACCCACCCAAGACTTGGCATCCATAGCCAAAGAGAAATGCAAAACAAACAAGCAAAACCCCTAGAGCAAATACGCAGGTACAAGTAAAGCAGGTCTGCTCTCAGCATCCCAGACTATCAAAGTCACTTAACAGGTTTCATGATTTCATGACCAGCTCCCCAAGTTCACTTACTTAGTAAGCACAGGAAAGGCAGGCAGCTCCTGCCTCAAGCTCAGGGCTGACAAAATTTACTCAACTATATATCTATGATGCACTGGGCAGGTATAAAAATGAAAAGCATTTTATAAATATACAACCTTGACTAGTAGCAGAACCATTATGCAGAGATAAAACGAGAATCTACCAGCTTCTTACTGCCCAGCAAATGGTCTCAAGTCTTTGGAAAAACTGACCCGCCAATCCTTGACTTTATGGAAGGAAGTCACACACCAAAGCCTTTCTGAAGAAGACCAAGCCTGTGTAGTAT